CCGGTTCTTCTCAGGTGTTCTTCTCAGTGGCTTACCTTCCGAACCGGTGGTAGAGTTTTTTAACTATCAATAAGTAAGTGAATGCTTCTATATTGAATAAAGATATTTGACTTTGACTTTGACTAAAAGAGAAATAGTGTTATTCAATGTCATAATATTTCTGAAGATGACGGAAAAATATTATTTGAGCAATTTTTAAATATGACGGGATAAAAAACGAATTTACGTTGATAGTTTAATAAAAATTTTAGATACAATTAGGCAAAGAGATAGGAAAGACCCTTAAAAATGTAAAAAAGTTAACGCTTTTATATACCACCTTTCAAAACGTTTGTATTTATGATATGAAAACCAGAGATGGGTGTTCCTTTCTATGGAATGAAGGCAAAGGCTGAATTCTGATTAGTTTGCAACGATTTTAACCAATTTCTCAGTTGATAAAGTAATTCCAGCAATAGAATTACTATTCATAAGAAGATGACAACAGATATTAGAAAATTAAATTAAATTTGATGATACCAATAAACCTGACTCTTTTCTGGTTGTTAATAACCAATTTTTAAAACCCTAAGACGCTTTGGTTGTACAGTTGAAAAGAAAAAGAAAGTTTTTATTTAAAATAAATCTATCAAGAAAACCAGCTAACTCCCAGATCTCATACTTTTGCGCGAAAGGAAAAACGGATAACTCCTAAAAAACGCTGTAGTATGGTAATGAAAATGTATAATGGATTTTATAATATCAAAAATGACAATTTACTATAATATCTACCAACTATATTTTAGATTTTCTCAAAAGTAGTCTAAAAAAATTTTATACAGTTTTAAGTGTCTCCTATAAAAATTGCTCATATGGAGTTAGCTTGTTTGCCAATTAAGGTATCGATACGAATTGTATCTTATCTTCAGGAAATATTTATTCTTTATGTTTGACGCAAAAATCTCTCGGGAGCCGCGTAGCCAATTCGTCCGATAGTAGTAATCTCGTTCTTAAAAAAAGAAGCGGGATCCCAATCAATCTCCAAATACATCAACATTTGCAAAAGTGTCATCCTTAGTTTTTTTTTTCAACGACGACACATATTCGACAGACGTTTTTCTTAAACTGTCAATGGTTTGAACAAAAAAGAGCTTCAGAATTGCAGAAATGGCGGTCAATGTTGGATAATTGAAAAATGTAAACAAAAATTAATTAATGTTGAATATGCTGTACGGAGAAATCCCAGGCCGGTAAACTACAATAATAATTTTAAGAGAAGTTATACTTTTTAGCGTAACAAAAGAAAAATAACTAAAAATTTTAGTTACTCTTTGTTTGTGAAGATGACATTATATGCAATTGACAACGGTTTATTTAAATATCTAACTTAGAATTATATTTAAATGACAAAAAGTTGCTATTGGTTGCCATGGTAATGCCTTGAAGTTGGTGTCTTTGCAACAAACTTCACAGTATCACCATGGCCAACATCAACATGTCGCTTTTTGAGGATCGGTGTGCGCGCGCATCGTAAAAATTTAACTGTCATAATTTTTTCCAAACGCACCAAAATAAGTATAACTTCTAAAAAGTGTTTAGGTTATTTAATTTATTTTTACTTTATTATTTTTTTATTTTGTAATTGTAAACATTGTAACTAAATGTAATATGTGTGCAGATGAAGTGTCGGATTAAATGTCTTAATAACGTATCGATCTATCAGTCTTTCGGAGTAAGTAAAGTGAAATTCGAATGACGTAGAAATCACAGCGCAGAACTCACAACGTCATGGCTTTGATCATAACGGTAGCAATTTCACTTTCGTTGTTTTAACATAATCTAGATCGGCTCGTGCCATGATTTTGTGGCGAGCGAGTGAAAGCGCCCCGGAGTAAGCGGCTTCGCTTCGACTTTCCTGGCACATGGGTGTTACATTAGATATGCGAGGTCGCGTGATTTACTAATGAGCCGTTAAACCCGCCATGCGTTGCAATGCGTGTTTTTTCAAAGGGGACGGACGTACGAAGTGAAATTCTTTTTCTCTTTGGCCATGAATCGTCGCGGACGTACACGGAATAACTCACCAAGGTTTGCTCACAATCAGATGAATAGTTTAGGAGCGGAGGACAAATATAAAAACATTAATTATTATTCATATATAGGAGGATGATTACATTTATAAGTAGGTGCAGTGGCTAAGGTCCTAAGTAGCCGATTCGATTTACTTGGTTTGTGACAACATCCTCACCACATATGGCATCTAATACTTAGACTAACTAAATATATGTAAAAAAAGCCGATATCATCAGTAAACTTTATGTCTGTCCGTTGCATAAATAACCTTTGCAATCCATTTTAAACTAGCATCCTCGTGAGCCATAGAGCCTTGAAACTTTTAATATAGTTCTGAATTAAATTTATGTTTTTGCAATCGGCATGCAATTTTTGTTTTGTATCATTATCTTAGGTTTAGTAAGTTATCTAGTGTATATTTCGGTATATGTAGCCCTGTAAAAGTTTTCTTTAAAAATGTGATCTAATGGAAGCCTTCATTTTAACTTGGACCATATCCAGATTATTCTATGGTGACGTTCTCGTTACAATGTCAAGTGCATTCGTCTCGCACGCGATCTACGTAGTTGCACCAGTACACGTTATGGCTTCTATAGACTAATCCCTGCAGCCGGCTCCTCTCTCTTATTTCTTCAACTGTTTATTGCCGTTAGAAGCATCAATCAGTGTAAATTTTATTATTGAAAACTTATGTCGTTAAATGACTAAACAATTCTTACAAAAGCGAAAGGTAAATTATATACTAGAACAATTCATTTGTTCTTTATATCCGTTGGTAGAATTAGATTTTTGAATGGTCTTGTTTAGGAATTACCAAGTTTTTGAGCCCATATATTGTAGAGATAGATAAATAAATATATGTGCAGGTGGCTCAGGATCGTACTTCGTGGCAGTCTTTGGGGGAGGCCTATGTTCAGCAATGGACTCAAACAGGCTGAAATGATGATGATGGTGAAATATATATGACGAAGTTTACTTGCACTTATAAATATTTTTTTAATTCATTCATACATATATATTCATGAATAGCATCCAGATAACAATTCATATAAGAAGAGTTGATGTTATTGTATAATATAAAATAAATTTTCTATAACGCCAGACAAATGTATTGGAAAATTTATCCAGATGTTGAATGTAATTATTTAAACAGCGTTCATATCAATAGAAATATAAATTTCATTTATAAAATAACTTATGAATTATTGAATAATATACGTTCAAGAGATAATATAAACCAAGAAATAAATGTGAGCATAGACAACGCTTTAAAATTTTCGGCGAAGCGACAATTTCATTCCAATTCTTCAAACTGCCTTTTTGTCTTGATGATTGATTTTAAGTAAGAATAATATATATATATTTATAATTTTTCTGTTCTTCTGTGCGTGTGTATGTGAATTAACTCCTCCTAAACTGCTGTACCGATGTCGATGAAATATTTTATATGGGTTCTAGTGGATTCGAGATTTTTTTGGATTCACAATTCGCTCCAGCACAAAATGTTTTTCTAATTAATAATAATTAAATCTGACAGAAGTTGACCAGTACAGTTTTAACTTCCTTTTAGTCCGCTAGTCTTTATACAATACAACTCTTCTGTACGTGTGTGTGTCACTGAACTCCTCCTAAACGGTTGGACCTATTCTAATGAATTTTTTTGTATGTTTGTCATGTGTTGTTAAGTGTGAAGTGGATTCGAGAATTGTTTAGTTTCACAAATCTATGGAACAAAGCTTGAAATTTTCGAATTAAAACACGCGTACAGGATAACGTCCGTGCGGTCCGCTAGTATACTATATAGAGTTATAGACGGACGGTACGTTTAAGTAAAGTTGTACAAAGAATGCGTGGACAATGGTCGCGTGCAATATCACAGCGATTGTTCGTGTTGAGATCAGCCGATGTCGCTGCCGTCAGAATCTAAATTATCTTATGTCGTAACACTTATTACGATCGTATGCCGCATTAGGATTTCGTTACTCTTTTATATTATATCTTTTTAATCGACTTCAAAAGGAGGTTCTCAATTCGACTGTATTATTTTTTTTTTATGTTTTTCACCTGACCGAGTGAACAGATTTTGATGATTCTCTTTTTATTTGAAAGCTGGTGCTCCCCATGTGGTCCAATTTCATTGGTATTGAATCTTGAGCTCCGGAGATACTTAGGAAACTCCCGAAAAATTATAAAATGAATACAGAGCGAGATATTAGATGTCAGTTTTGTTTTTCGTTAGTAAAAAAAGTTTTATATACTAATAGCCTTGTAAATGTATTTTTAAATTATTCCATCTCATCTAGAGGCGTATGTTCTCTCAGAAAAATGGTTGTCTCTTTATACTCATACTTATTTTGGTATAGTCTTATGGTTCCGGATACCAGAAACTCTTATGCGATCACACTTATATCAGTTTGTCCGGCTGGCTCATTCAATTTTTGCTTTAAAACTTGAGTGAATAGTAAAATTTTAACTATTGTAAAGATTTTTGGCAATTGAAGTGATGCAAATTATTTTCTTTCATGTGAAAAGGAGGCAAACGAGCTGGCGGTACACCTGATGTTAGAATATGATAACCGCCGCCCATCGACTTTTGCAACACCGGTAGGGTTGCAAATGCGTTGCCACTTTTTAATAAAATGGGCCCTGGCTATCTCACTCATCAGACGAAACACATAACAGTGGTAGGGCCACGCATCACCCCGGTGCCGGCACCAATGATATTATTAATTTTAAGTGCTTACTTATCGGTGAAGGATCATATCTTAAGGAAACCTGCATATTTTCGAAAAAATAATAAAAAAAAATTTCGAAGATAATGTGAGTTCGTCAATCCGCAATGCGGTCGCGTGTTGGTGTTGTTACTGTGCCCTAGTAACCTCTCTACAGAGGAGGCCTTTGCCCAGCAGTGGGACATATATAGGCTGTTACTTCAATTTTATACATTATATTATGGGATTTGTAGTTTTATACCCTCTTCGTCCCGGTATTGTGGCATGCGGTAGCGGCGTGCATTGCTTCCAATCTAAACGCTCAATCGGTTTGGCGGATCTCGCCATCGTCGCATCCCGTCGTAACGCGTGGTGGCCTTTGTGCGTGCCACAAAGAGCGTAATGACGTCGCGCCACCGCTGCCAGGCCAATTGAGCGGCGGCCGGCGACGAGAGCAAGGACGCCTGACCGCTCCATTCATGAAAACGGGACCCGTGAGGTAACGCACCGTAGGAACAACCTACTGGTAGCATCCACCGCGCGCCTTCAATCTGCCCAGATTGCTTAGGAAGTCGATTCATGGATTCGGTTAAAGCGTTGAGTCCAAGACAGACTCGCCTTTCACCAGACCCAAAATTCAATCATGTAGCGAAAAATTTCCTCAAGTCGATTCCCAAGTAAATTAAGTTTAATGTTATTGCACGTGGTAGAGCCATGCATCGGCATTTGCTGATGCTGAATTGGGCCGGCTCAAACCGGGGAAGTACCACGGCCTCACAGAAAATCGGCGTAAAGTAAAGGTATTTTTACCTTTGCGTTTCGTCCGGTGAGTGAGGTTGCCGGAGGCCCACCCCCTCTCCCCCAACATCATGGTAGCGGTGTTAAAAAAGAACATACCCCAGGGGGGTACCAGTACTTCTAGTTCTGGAGAATCCCCTACTGGGCGTCCGCGCTCAGATGACCTTTCGCCATCTGGGCGTGGGCGTTCGGGCTGCCCCATGTATTCTGGGGGGGGGCATAATTCCGCTCTCCATTCCCTCTGCTCGAGGCAAACGTAGCAGGCACACTACGGCAACCCCTACCACGCTTTCTGTGGATTTTTGCAACATAAGGGGACTTCACTCCAACCTCAATGCCGTCCACTACCACCTTGAGACGGCAAAGCCGTGCTTGCTATTTCTAACTGAGACTCAGATATCTTCTCCGGCAGACACATCATATCTCTCTTATCCGGGGTATAAGTTGGAAAACTCCTTTGTGCCCCGAGCCGGAGTTTGTGTGTAAGTTAGGGAGGATATCTGCTCGCGTCGTCTCAGCAGCCTTGAAGGCACGGACCTGTCCATCATATGGCTACGTGCAGACAATGACGACCACCCTCGCGTCTATGCGTGCCTTTATAGGTCCCATAGCGGAATACGGAAACAGACTGACTCATAAACCACGTCCAAATGGATACAGATTATGTGCTCCAACAGATCCCAACCGCAGAGATCGTGATCGTTGGTGATTTTAACGCCCATCACGTCGACTGGCTCGGGTCACATACCACCGATCATGCGGGGAGGTCTGTACACGACTTTGCCATTGCAAATGGTTTAACACAATTGGTCACTATGCCCACGCGGATCCCAGATGTGTTAAATCATTCTCCTTCCCTGTTGGACCTTCTGCTGACCACTCATCCGGATCACTACCAAGTTTCTGTCGATGCCCCTCTTGGCTCGTTAGACCACTGTCTGGTCCGGAGCGTAGTGCCCATCGCGCGCAGAACGCTTACGCGCTCCCCGAGTTTTCGTCGTGTGTGCCATTACATGTCAGCAGATTGGGATGGGATGCGGTCCTTCTTTGCATATTATCCCTGGGGCAAGGTTTGCTTCTTGCTGGATGATCCCAGCGCCATCGCTGATTCTGTCGCCGATGTGGTGCTTCAGGAACTTTTTATCCCCTTCTCTACGGTTCCCATTGGCGGCAGATCCAATCCCTGCTTCCGTCGCTCCTGCAAACTGGCATCTCGCCATAAGCAGGAGAGTTATCGGGCCTGGACCGTTGCGGTGGCGTCTAGGGATGTAAATACCAGTCACTTTTAAAAAGGAGTACAACTTTGCCTCTAGGTCCTTCAAAAGAGCAATCGCATCAGCAAGGTCAGAGCACATCGGCAAAATTGGCGAGAAATTAGTTAACCTTCCTTCGGGGACTCGTGCATTCTGGTCTCTCGCCAAGGCTGTTCAAGGAAACTTCTGTACGCCATCTTTTCCATCTTTGCACAGGGGAGATGATTCGTTGGCCCACACCGCTGAAGAGAAAGCCGAACTTTTGGGCAGCCTCTTCGCGTCTAACTCGACACTGGATGATAAGGGGAACACACCGCCGACCATCCCGCGGCGTGAGCACACAATGCCAGAAATAAGGTTTCTGCAGAGCACAGTACGTAAAGCACTCTTCTCCTTAGACATCCATAAGTCGAGCGGGCCAGACGGAATCCCTCCCATTATGTTAAGGGCGTGTGCTGCAGAGTTGGCACCGGTTTTAACGCGCCTTTTCCGGCACTTCTAGGCATTGTCCCAACTTCTTGGAAGACGGCTTTAGTGCACTAGGTGATCGCTCAGATCCGTCGAACTATAGGCCTATTGCCCTCACCTCTTTGTTCTCTAAAATCATGGAGTCCATCATAAACTGCCAGCTCCTTAGGTGCCTTGAGGAGCACCAGCTCATTAGCGATCGTCAATATGGCTTTCGACGCGGGCGCTCAGCTGGTGACCTTTTAGTGTACCTAACGCATCGATGGGCGGAGGCAGTTGAGACAAAGGGTGAGGCCTTGGCGGTTAGTTTAGATGTAGCGAAAGCCTTCGATCGGGTTTGGCACAAAGCACTTCTTTCTAAGATTACATCTTACGGGCTTCCTGAGAAATTGTGCAACTGGATCACTAGTTTTCTCACTCGTCGGAGCATCAAGGTCGTTATTGACGGTGCTTGCTCCGACGCTAAATTCGTGAACTCTGGTGTCCCACAAGGCTGTGTCCTGGCCCCTACGTTGTTCCTCCTACATATCAATGATCTGTTGCATATTTGCAACATTCATTGCTATGCGGATGACACTACGGGTGACGCATTGTATACCGGCCGGGCAAATATTTCTCAGGAGTACGTCGAAGAGTGCCGGAATAAACTTGTGTCTGAAGTCGAGATTATGTTATGCAAAATCTCGGATTGGGGCAGACTTAATTTAGTCCAATTTAACCCCATGAAGACACAGGTTTGCGCGTTTACCGCGAAGAGAAAACCCTACGTCGTATCTCCCTTTTTTGAAGGCACTCCCCTTGTTGCCACCGATTCGATCGGAATTCTTGGGGTCGATATATCGAGCAGCGTTCAATTTCGCGGTCACTTGGAAGGAAAAGCCAAGCTGGCTTGTAAAAAACTCGGTGTCCTAAACCGAGCGAGACAGTATTTCCTGCCGACACATCGGTTGCAGCTTTATAAAGCACAGATTCGGCCTCACGTGGAATACTGTTCTCACCTCTGGGCTGGGGCACCGAAATACCAGCTCCTTCTATTTGACCGCATTCAACGAAGAGCTGCTCGAATCGTCGACGACCAAATCCTGTCCGATCGCCTCGATTCTTTGGCCTTGCGTAGGGATGTTGCATCCCTATGCATTTTCTATCGGATATATCATAAGGAGTGCTCTGAGGAATTGTTTGGGTTGATACCTGCTGGTGAATTTCACCATCGTAGAACTCGTCAAACCGCCAAGTACCATCGACACCACCTTGATGGTTGGCGCTCCACCACAGTGCGTTTTTCACGAAACTTTCTACCCCGCACAACTACTTTGTGGAACGAGTTGTCGCCAGCGGTATTTCCAGACCGATACGACTTAGGGACCTTCAAGAAGATATAAGCCTATCCCTTCCTTAAAGGCCGGCAACGCAATTGCGACTCAACCGATGTTGCAAATGTCCATGGGCTGCGGTGATTGCTTATCACCAGGTGACCCACATGCTCGTTTGCCTCCTATTCCCATTAAAAAAAAAAAGTTATATACAAAGTATGATATTTTTCAGGATCTCAGTTGTTTACTGCATTTGAAAGTTAATTTTGATTAACCAAGGACCTCTTGTATCGTCTCCAAGACCAGAGATCTATATTTACTTTGGAAAACTCAGGCAAAATGATATATTAGCAAATTGTAACATAAGGAAATTATACTAGTCACTTCCTTATGTTAGGTCTATGGATGACGGTTACAAATAGGCAACACTAGATTACTGATGACGTAATAGACAATTGGGCAAGTTTGAGTTCAGGTTCCGGTTAATGACAACGAATAAAAAAAATTATTTACATCTTCAACACTAACAGGGTAGACTTTTTTCATAAAAAAAGAAGACAAACGAGCAAGCAAGTTACGGTGTATATCAAAAATATCTTAACCAACTACTCTACTCTTCTTAAAGCCGATACTAAAATCATAAAGTCGTATTGCTAAATTACAGGAAGCGTACCAATCGGGTTCAACGACACGGAATATTAGGCACAGACCGTCCTGTGCTAAATTGAGTATATAGGAATTGAATCCAGCGGCCGTCCCGATGCCATAAGAAAATTTTATTACCTATTTTAGACGCTAGTACGCGACGACTGAAATAAAATACTGAGAGATGCGATAAAGTGGCAAATGCGCCAATCTTAAGTACAGTGATGATCATTTTCCCGCTCAAAGATTAATCCAGACATCAAGACAATACCAGGCATCGAGGATTGTTTGAAAATTAGGTTACGTTTTAGAAATATGACTTAATTATTAAAAACATCATAAATATTATCGACTTACTTTTTTCCTGAGAAACTTGTATCGATCGCATACGGAAATTGACTTCCTCGTGTTAAACGTCTAACGGTCTTTGCTTAGTAGTGTTGTGAAAGCGGCCCACAAACATTTATTAGAGCCTGTGTTATTCCTACTTCTTTATTCTGTAGCAGAAATAAGCCCAACTCCAGTATGTTCAAGGTTGGGAAGCGCGGGAGTTTTTACGTGAAATCTGATTAAACCCAATTAAAAGACGTAACTTCTCGTATTTTAAACGCCGACAGCAAAGAACAAACGAAAATGAAGATATTGTAGGAATCTAAAAGAACATAAGCATCTATAAGTTAAACAGGTATAGGAAATGCATAGAAACAAATGATAAAAATCGTCTTTGGTTCTAAATTTGATCAGCGAAATAGAAAGTTGTTGTGCTTTTTTAATATTGAAACAATCATCTGGCAACATGTTAATGGATAAGGCAAGTACTTATACCCTTAAGATATTCCTAAGGTAACATGACACTTGTAAAATATGACAACAGATCTACTTGAAACAGAGATTTATATTATATTAAACGGATAGAAAATCCATCGGCAGCCAGGTGTCCCACTTATCGAAGCATTGCAAGTGCACTCGTTTCTAAAGCTGTCGGACTATGAAAATGGAA